GGGGGGGGGGGGGGAGAAACTACTCTACACACTACACATTCTGCCTAGGTAAGTCTGGACTCTGCCGTCAAGAAACATTGTGCAGATCTGCTACAGTGACAGCACACTAGGTAGGTTTGCGAAGAAGCCCTCAAAATGTGCAAACACCTGTTAAAAGTAAATGTGATTCAGCTGCATGAAGATGATCATTTTTGTGGGTTTTTCTGCACAGCCCACAAAAGACGCTGGTTCAATTCAGGTACTAAAATTGCGGAAATCCCAAAAGTGGTTGAGTTGGTTGACTACCTGGATTAGACCAACCCAAAACCCTAATAGCTGTCATTACAAGGTGGCAGAAAACTACGACTAAGACCGTCTCACCTGAAAGGTTTTCACATTTGGAGTGAACCCAGCGATCACATTTCCCACACTGCATCATCTTGCTCTCATAGTCATCGTCGTCATAGCATTTGTCACAGAGTGGACAGAAGTTTCCTTTATATTAAAAAAAAAAAAAATCAAGACTCCCATCAGTATGCCAACTGCTGAGTTCACCTCTGAGTACTTAATTACTACGATACTGAGAATCAAGGCCCTGTAAAGCCATGCCACCCATTAGGTAAGTGCTGCTACAATTACCCTTGAAATAAAGAATATCTCCAGAAATAATTAAAAAGTCATCTGGAGCACTGACCAGCTTATATTTCCACTATGACTGAGGGCTTTATTTTTATTGTGAGGCTAATAAGATACATGCCCATATAGTTTTGCTGGAAGAAATGAGAGAGATAAAAAGCATTTATAAAACCCAGAAAACCCTACCCTTATCTGACAAACGGAGTAAACTCAATTTCCTCTCCTGGCCATTTGACTTTCTGCTCACTGCTCGTGCCCCTTGAATTCATACATGGAGGACATACACAACTGATGAGGAGAGGGAAGAACAAATCCCCGGACCCACATTTTTTCAAGTTACAACTGATTCTGTTTTAAAATTCTGACACATTCTCAGCTGCAAGCAGGGAACCTCAGACGACAATTCTGAAATAAACCCAATAATTTTGTAAGGCTTAGCATCTGAAAGCGCCGAAGATTGCCACTAAGAGGCAGTGTCCAGCCACAGGAAAAGCCATCTCCACCTTTCATATGGCAAAAGGTTTCATAATTCGTGCTTTAACAGATTCCAAGCCATGCCAGTTATAGGCACTGCACACTGGGATCAGGGCTCAACTGCTTCATTGATCCTCACAGTCCTACAATGACATTTTCTCATTAAGATTACAGTCTCCTTAAGAATACGCTCCCATGCCTGATCACGGTGCAAACATTTGTTGTACCTTTAGCGAAGAGTTTGGCACAATCATGACACAGTGAGAAGTCATGAGACCACTGTGCATCCCACCCTTTGCCTGGAGTTGTTGATCCACAGCTCTTGCAGCGAACACATTTGGTACAGATCTGCAAGAAAGGACATACATATTTGGATGAAGAGAGCATCTTTGCTACCATCTCAGGATCTCTATTCTTTAGTCCCAAAGGACTATTCTGCAAGTTGATCGTATAACATGCAGATATGATATCACAGAGATGAATGTACTCTCCAAGGTCAGACTAGGTGGTTTCAACATATAACGCCCCCACAGATAACCATCAAAGGAAGTGCTCCCCTCTTCCAAGTAAAATGCCAACCACACAAAGAAAATACACCTTACCCCAGTTATTTTGCCACTGACAGCTATGCTATAGTTAACCTTGCTTTAGCTTGAAAATCCCAAGGCAAGACTAGGATGATGTTCTTTACAACCCCATGTGCCAGAGCAAGAATTAGAGGAAACTAACAAAACCTCAGATGCAGCAGAAAACAAATTCTTATTACAGAAGGGTCCAAAGTGTTAGGCATGCACCCGTCTATGTGCCAGTAACAACTGACAACGGAGTCAGAATGGAAACCTATATTCTTTACTTATAAATGTCTTGGTCTCTTGTTCTCACACCATGTTCAGAAGGATTAATTAGGAAGATGATTTATCACAAGTTCTTGGCCACCTTCATCAACAAAAAGGTGGAGTGGGCACTTGCCATAAGAGCAATCCAAAAGCCATCTCATTAATAAGGCATTACCAAAGCTTCCTTATGAAAACCATAAACACCCTCTCTAAGGAGGCAGTACATTTTGGATGTTCACTCAGTGAAGCTGACAGTCTGGTCATAGCATGAGAAACCCCCTCACATATGTCAAGTTCTACATTTTGACGAGCTGAGCTTTGCTGACGGCTCCTCAAGGAACAGGCCAGCACAGAGCTGTAGAAAGCAAACTCACCCAAACCTTCTTTTTCTTGGTGGGTTTTGTTGGGTAGTTTGGTCCGAGGCACTCAGGGTGATAGCTGTTTCGGCACTTGTTACACTCCAGCAACTGCTACAGAAAGGTCAAAACCAGCAATACTGTAACAAACAGCCAAGGAAGGACACTATCCCCAGAGCACTTCTTTTATGCTAGATCCCACATCCTGTGGGACAGGCAACGATCACAACTAAGCTACTCGCCACGCAGTCGAAGAAACGACAATGCTATGCTGTTATGCGTGAGGAAAGATTCTATGCCCCGGTGCTAACCAAATCATGACATATCTGGTCCCACTGCTTAATGATTTTGATGGGTTATTTTACAAGGAGTTCCTGACCTGGGAGGGAAAAGAGTTAGCTTAAAGCAGCCCTGCTAAATTATTCCTAGTACCTTTGTCGCCTGGTGTTGCCTCCCACAGACGTGACAGAACTTGCACCGACGACAGCACCAGTTCTCCAGCTGGTCCTCGAGGGGCCGGTCGCTCTCTTCTAAACAGAACTTGTGGAAGGGCTCACAACACACCTGGCAATACACAAACTACAAGGGGGAAAACTCGACTAAGTCAAATGCTTTCCCAAATTCTCACCCAACCCACCTACTCCCAGGTCCGTTTCAAGCTCCACTTTAGAACAGACACAAGCATTTGTATTCAAATGAGGGGCTTCCAAATGAGAAGAGAGACTGAACAAGCTCAGCCTACTCAGCTCAGGCAAGAGACCGGG